TTTTATGGGCCGATGATTTTTTTATTTTTTTTTGTAACGGTATAAACAATGAAAGGTGGTGGATTGGCCAGATGCTGGCTTATGTGTAAAAATAACTCAGTTGTTTAGTGGTGGCTATGGCGGAGCTTCCACAGATTCAGTAACATTAGCAAGTGGTGGAGGCCAGCAGGTGAGGCAGGAGGAGGAGAGCCCCGAGGTGGCCGCCGAGTGTCAGGTGAACTGAACTTCAGGTAAGAAGTTATGAAGTCTGTCTGGGTCAGATATAAACCAAGTTCAGGTGGAGTTTATTTTCGTTGTGCTGACTTTTTACCGTCAGTTACAATAACTAGTACTGCGTACTAGCTAGCATGACGGAGTTTCTATACAGCTGGGTGAGTGCTATGATGTTACTGATAGTGAACTTTATTTTATTCATAAGGCTAATTATTAGAGTTGCCGACTGTCCTGTAAAAAACGGAATCGTCTGGTATTCAGAGAAAATATTACGTGTTTCATATTGAGCCGAAAAGGAACACAGTTTGTCCCGGACTTCAGCTACAATGAAAACGACACAAAGCTGGAGTTTTTCTGTCTTTGCTGCACAGCTGCCTCTTCTTCTCTCATTCTCTCTCCCCCTCTCCTGTTGCTACTTCAATCATGAAACTGATCAATGATCAGCTGATCGGCTTTTCTCTCTTGTTTGTTTATCGCCCACTTTGCGCCAGAAAGAGGAAACCAGCAGATGTCGCGCTAAACAACAGCAGCACGTTTAAGCTTGATCAGCTGTTGTTAGAATTTATTTAATATTAATTTCTAGTATCAGCTGATGTTTGCTGGAGCCACAGCTGTAAAGCTGCTGGTCATGATTTGTATATCTGGTGAGAGGGAAACATGAAGATGAAACCAGGAGATGTCCTTACTGAATCATCAGAGCTGAACAGGTGATGGAGAAACAGGTTTACCTTTTAGGTGACATGAATGAGTTGAAGGGAAGTTATGAACTGTTTCTGAGAGACAAATAACACCAGGATCCTTTTCTAAGTAGCTGACAGCTGGTAACTGTGCAGGGGCGGGTCTAGCAAAGTGTTGCCAGGGGTCCATGTAGGGCATTAACAGGGAAAGGGGGGCACAAAGAAATACTTTCTTATTCTCATTTAAAATGTCTAGCTTTTATTAAATAATTATCTGAAGCTTACAACCAAAGTTTTTATCTGACGTACAATGTATAAAAATCATACATATACCGACAAGACTGTACATCACTGTCACAACAGCATTTGTTTTCATTCAAAGGCTTTATGGCTTTAATACCTGGTGGGCCGGTCTCTAGTCAAAATGCCCGGGCTGATTTTTTTGTCCCAGTCCAGCCCTGGGCACGACAATCTGAGAAGGTGCATTAAAAAATACATGGCCGCAAATGAGCAAATTCGCTCGCATACACATTAGTTGTGCCGCTTCTTAATGACGGTATCTTAGCTAACAACCCCAACTACCAGATTCAACTTGTAATTGGCTAAAAATCACTTCGCCTATCGGTGAGAAGGACGTTGTTAGCTTTCTACATTCCGACACTTCAGAAGCTTCAGGAGCTTTCCGCTCAGCACAGCATCAGCACCACAGAAATACACGGATACATCTGTAGACTCGAGACAGAATTCACAATGCGTTTTCAGGACTTTCAGGTGTATGGACCAATGTTTCTTTTCTGATCAAACCAGAAAGCTTTAATAAGCAGCTAGATTTGTCTCGCATTAACTGGCCGTGTTAATGCCAGTTAATGCAACATTGAAGCAGCTGGAATCCACAGCTGTGCGTGTTCATGGAGCTTGCATTTTCACCTGCTGGACATTACTACCTGACAAGTTTAACTGTCTTCAGAACATTGCAGAGGCCTTATTGACAGTATCTCATGTTGTGACAGCCCTGTGGTCTCTCAAACTCTACGTGTACTTTTCTACAGAATTTGAGCAAGTTTTTATTTTGTTACTGTATCTGTTTATCATCTGTATCCTTAATATTAACCCCAATAATCTTGTCGAAACTAAGGAACCATCATTTGAAGGTGAATAATAAGCAGATAAACTATCAGACTTTGTGGGAACGGGCTTTTCCTGAGGAGAGGAAGGTTTTCCACATTGCCCTGTGAACACTTTCACCATTTTATACGCTTTAAATATGGTAGAAATTGTTTACTTTGCTTTTTTAAAAAAACCCCAACATCATTTCTGGTTAGAAATGCACGTGTGTCATTAGAAAAAGAATACTGGCTGATTTCCCCAGGCTAGCACTCTCACTGCTGAAGGAAAATTTCATCTCAGATGCTCTCAAAAGATGGAAGTCCCCCATCCCACCCGCACATGCAGGTATTTAAAGCTCCAGCTGCCATGTTTAGGTGCCTGTTACATAACTGGCGGGATTTCAAATGTAATTCTGGTGTTGAAGAGGGACTGCTAGCGTAAATGTTTGATGAACAACGAGGCACTCTGTTTTGACCACCCAGACGTTTGCAAGGCTGCCTGTGCAGGAAAGGGCTTTTCAAAGAGTCCCCCCTCTCTCTGAGGGGCAGGTGGAAGCCCTCGGGTGTGTATGACTCATAGGGAGGTTACCGTATCCATAGAAGTGTGTGTATGTCTGCCTCCACACACACACACACACACACACACACACACACACACACACACACACCACTTGGTGCTGTCTTAAGGCTCTTGAGACACTGTTTTTTTTCTGCTGCTTTTTTTTCTTCACTGCATCTTGTTTCCTGCCTCCACGCGTACTCCTCTGGGAGACAATCGGGTATACTATCCTCTTTATTGGACATTTATCTCATTTGGCAGGTGAAGTTGCCCACTTCTCACTCCTACGCAATCTTCCAGACTATCTGCCAGTCATAAAATACATCCCCGATATGACTAGGCTCAGTTCCATCGCTTATTATCATTTATTTAACATCTCAAAGCTCTCAAAGGGCCAGTGGGCGTGCCCTGACAGAGAAGCAGCAGAGCGTAGCGTTTTACCATCTGGGTAGCAGTGGGATTAGCACAACACGAGTGCCTGATCTAGATACATCACTAGCCATCAATGGCTTCAAGTCACTCGCTGCTTGTCACACAGGACAGGATGGGCGACTGAGTGCTTACCCTGCAGCTAGCCCTTCAACTTTTGTTCCCTGTGAGCCGTGCACAATATGGAGAAAGTCGTGCTGCTGTGATTATCACAGTTTAAATTCATACACCACACAGCCTTCTTTTAAAGAGTCTAAATCTGATTTTTGTTTCTTACGCACACGTTACAGTTGACCTCAGCAATCATGCTATGACTCAGTTCAGCTTTAGTTCTTGTCAGTAATAATAGATTTCAGCGATGACCATTTCATAGTGGATCATGACCTCAAAAGCCTGTTAAAAACTTCTTTTTTTTTTCCTTTTCACTGCCTGAGACAGCACAAACGCTTGAGCTCATCATCCTTTTAAATCTGTCTGTAGGTGTGACTTGTTTTGTATTTATTTTTGTCTCCTATTGTATATTTGCCAGTCCCCACACTTTAGAAATGTGTAGTATTTCATTGCTCTAATTCTCTGCTAATTACAAGCTATTATTGATTTTTAAACTATGTTTTTCTTTTAAAATGCAGATAACATAATCCCATCCAACAAACCCGGTTGTTTGCTATAGACAAAAGTGTTAATCTGTCTGTGTCTCTTTGTTACACTGACTCTTGGTTTTAGATTGTACATTTGTGGGTTTTTTTTCTTCTGATCATGCGAGTATTGAGCCCACATTATGCAAAAAATTGTCTAGTTTGAGAATAGAGTCGAAATTTTGAGATCAAACTCAAAAGGTTTTTCTGCAAATAAATTCAATATACCAAAAAGTCGAAATGTGGGGATCAAGTTGTTGTTCCCACGGCTGTTATACTCTCTGTGAAATGCTACAAAATACTTCAAATTTGGTTTTAGTAATAAGGAAATATTTCTCTTTTGTGCAAAGTCAGAAATGCTTTGATGCGACGATTACAGCCTCATGCCGTAAAGATGCAGTATGTTGTATCACAACACGCAGTAAGAGAGCTCTACACAAAGACTTTTGCATAATAACTTGACTTTATTCTGAAAATATTGTTCATAAAAAGCCAAGTAAACTTACGCATTACAAAGAATCTGAGTTACATTTAGTGCAAGACACTGGAAACTGGGTGGTGCTGTAAAATACTGTTGACCAGGCTACTCGTACTATTTAGCCTTTCTGGTTTGCTCAATGAAAGCTTTATGAAGTTCTAATGTAACATTTGGCAGGAGTACAAGCTGAGGGAATAAGCGAAGGGTTTGTTTTAGCCCCTTGGGTTGTTGTTGGACTTCTGACTACCTCCTCCTGAGACCTGAGGGCACTGTGAAGCAACTGACACACAGTTAAAACCACAAATGCTCCACCTCTGCTGACGTAACACGCCAGGTCTCCCTATCCTTATTCTGAGCTCGAGCTGCTTCTTGATTTCCTCATACACAGGTCTTAGGCATCTGCAACTTGTCATCTTCATTTGAATATTTAATTCCTTCAGAGCTGTCTTACTGTGGGATATCTCAGAAGCGCCGAGCATCTGCTTCGTGATGGAGCTCTTCGGTGCATTTATCCGTGCCCGTGCAGTGCCGGGAATGTCATGTAAATTTGATGGCAGCTTCCACAGTTGCTTCTGGCACTCCGGGAGAGTGCAAAAAAGTGAAAAATGCATCTTCTTTTCTGCTGTTTTTCCTGTATGTTTAAAATATAAATGGGCTGCACTTCAAGCTTGATTTGTACCGCTGCAGTGTGACAGGGTGAAATGGCTTTTGTTAATCAAGTCGTCGGAGGATTCTGAGAAAACCAGTTGTCGGGGTCAGAATGGGAGCTAATTAAGGAAAATTTAATGATGTAATAAATTTGTAGTTGCTCTTTATTTGTTGAAGTAGGACAGCTGAGTAATTAATTTTTTACGTTAATGGAAGTCTTTGTTTTCTTTCTCTCTCTCTTTCTCTTTTCTTTAGGAACCTGCTGGATAGAGACACGTTCTCCAAGTCAGATCCAAGTAAGCTTGTCTCTTATCACTCTCTCTGTGACACACATGTGCACACAAACAGATCAGTGCAACAGCTCCCAGCAGACCTAACACAAATCCACAGACACATATATATATACACGCACTCTCTCATGCACGTGTACAGGTGGATTTTAAATTCTACAGGCAAACAGACACAACCGCAGACAAACATCCACCACATGCAGGCAGATTTGGTACTGTGCAAACACAGCTTGCAAGCACTACACATGGACACACACACTCTGCCTCGCCTGTGTGAATCAGTAGACATTTGCATATGTCAGGGGTCATATTCGTCACTGTTCTCTGCTCCCAGTGTGAGTGAGGGGAACCAGATCATCTTCACACACAAACCAGCCGCTTCCCTCCTACAGATTAAACGGCACACATACACACTCCTCACTCACTTGATAGCAGGGGTTCAATTTGGCAACTGGTCCAGTGGTTTTTAAAGGCCCAGTGTGCAATCCAACAGCAATTTGCCTCAGTAGACGGACATTAAGAGCAGGATGAGAAGTCCATTTATTAGAAAATATTTTTAATAAATGGACTTCTCATTTCAAAGAAGGGTTTTATGTTTAGGCAAACTGTTAACACACAGGCTCTCTATCAGAACTTCATTCTTTTCTGTTACTGACTCAAATGAATTGTCACATCAACACCTGTTAAAACAAGATAACCAAACAGACACGCTGCTTCAAAAATGGAAATTAATGTTGGTGGTATTTGTTCTTCATATCTCATACACTGTCACATTTGAACCCAGAGTCCTTCTATGGTGCATTTATAATATTAACGAATAGCAGGAATACAGGCATCATCTTCAGATGTACCTATAGAATTTTTAATTGGGGGAACAACAGGCTTGGTTTTCTTAAATAAGTACTGCAGTGCATTTTTGTTATTTAGAGAAGACGAGCAATGTTGGTACAATTGCATCTTCCTATTTTGAAGTTTGGTGGGGGGGCTAAAACTATTGTTATATCAAGAACATCAAAGCAATTCCTGTAAAATTTGGGGAAAACAAACAAAAGGAAGATATGAGCAAATGCTGGTTTGACCCTTCAATAAGCTTGTCTACATAGGGTTAGAGACCACAGGGTTAGATACCAGTCGGCAACCCCCAGCACAACCCAGTATCGTGGCCCACCGGCATGCAGAAGCTGCAGCAAGCTGCAGTACCAGCAGCGGTGAATGTTTTATGTTAAGTCAATATGAAAATAATGGCAGGAAAACATAAGAGACGATTAAGCTAGGTGGTTAAAATGTAAATATTAACCACAAGCATAATCGTTTGTGGCACAGAAGGACCCTGGAACCTACTTCATACTTTCCTTAGTCACGGCTGCTTGGCTATTGTTCCAATCTTGCTCTAAAAAATGTAAAAAAAAAAGATTTCTCTTACTTTTTTATTTTTTCTATCAATTGATATCAGTATCAATTTTCCTCTGTATCAACTGGCACTGGTATAAAGTTTGAAATTCTTGTATTGTGACATCCTTGATAGGGGACGAATGGGGTTGTTGCTGTGAAAAGTGAATCCAAAGAGGAAGCACCTTAAATTTGGATTCTTTGTAACGGCTAGCTAGAGGTGACACCTCTGTTTTCAAAAAGAAGTCAGATTGCACAGAAGTCCAAGGAACAGACCAGTTTGGTTCCCTTGATCTCAGTCGAAGCTTGATGGTCTCATTCACTAGTTCCAAGTCTCCTTAAATATAACGTTATGTTTGTTTTTTGATGTCTAATTTTAAAATCAAATACACAAGCAGAGTATGATTTAAGGCATTTCTGCTTTGACTGATAGTTGGATTAACAAATATGCATTTAATGACATTTACAAATCATCAAATGCAGATGGCAATGACTTGTTGATGATTGTTGTGATGGCCCATAATGGAAAGAATTGACAATATGTGATTCTAAACAATATCTGAGAAACTCAATAGCTTTGTTTGTCCTAAACACTGTGTACAGAGCCTCTCATAGACAGACACACGTGCTCAGACAGGCTTAGGGATTGTAATGCATTTCCTTGTTGTTTTCATCTGTCATTCCTACTTTGTTTTCACCAGCAAACTGTGACACTCATGCCTGTTAACAGCCCGCTAAAAATAACCACGATTGAAAAAAAAAAAATACTCCACATTTACATGAAATCTTAAAAGTTAAAATCATTTTTTAACTTCTGATCATCCGTGGTTTGTTTATCCTTCGTTTCTTTAGCTGAATTTCCTAAATATTAGCACTTTAGCACCTGAGCACTGCACAGCAAGCACTAGCGTTTCTCCTTGGTTGGTGGTGTGTGAACCCATAATTGATGAGCTTCCAGAATTGCGGATTGGACCTTTAAATGTCAGATAGTGAGAAAGGAGGATGAGCATCCCTGCGTTTATGCAAGGAGGCACTTGTGCTGCGTCCATGTCTCTGCTCTGCTGACAGCACTGGCCCCAGTCACACAGCATTAGACCGCATCGGCAGAGCCACGCTCACACTCACATGCACACACAAAAGCGCACACATCCAGGGCCTCGGGCAAGCTCACGTACCATATTCATATTAGCTCATAAAACTGAACAACAGTCCAGTGTTTCTCTTTGGTGCATGCTTGTGTGCTTTTATGTGTGTTTGTGTTTTAGCAATTGTTCCCGCGGTGCGTGGATGTGCTTTGATCACACTGTTTCGACAATTGGGAAAAGCCCATTAAGAAGACGGGAACATTATCAAACTGTTTACCTTAAAAAAAGTCGCATTTGTGGTGCCTTTGTCAATCTCTTCCCCCCCCCCTTAAGGAAGAGTTAAAAGTACTGATGGTGAGGACGTATTGTGTACGGGTGTATGATCAATGGCTTTTTTTCTCTGCACATTCACATGGAGACCATGTGTCATCCGGTCCTTCATAGCAAGATTAAAGGATGACAGTATATTCAACCAGCTGAGCCCTAGCGCATTGCACTCTGTACACTATGCAACTTATACAGACTCCAGACTGACAGACTGCCAAAACACAGCAAGTTTGAACACTTCTGCAGCCACACAGGAGGCGGGAATAAATTAGGACATGTTTTTTTTTTAAGTTTGCACTCAAATTCAGTGTGAAATTTGTGAGGTGGGGAAAATAAACCCATAAAATGTACAAAACATTATTAATAGCTTATCTTGATCTTGACTCGACTCCAGGTCTATTCTAAACGATTAAATGTCAGTTTTGTGGTGGGTGGGACTTTATCAGCAAATCAACCTAACCTGATGTTGCAGGAAGATTTCTAAATCTTCATTTGAAGCTAACAAAACAAAGATTTTCACTAACGGCCACGAATGCTAATGAATACATGATTGCACTAGTCATGTGATATCATCAGTTGATGACAGCTAATGCATTCACTTAGGCATAAATTTACAATTAATTAATGCTATAGTTAATTATAACGCAAGCCGTCTCAGTGGAAGGTGTTCCTTTAATAATCAGATGTCACAAAAATAAGTCTCTGGTCTGTCTGATTGTGGTTTTTTTCTGTTATTTTTTTCCTGAGAGGACCTTTCTGTTTTTAATCTTTTATAAATAGCAGCCTCAGACGTATTTATTTCCATCTTCACCCTTAATGCTTGATGACATCAAGAAAGTATCAGAAACTGCAAATTAATAAATATGTATACCTTCATTATATACAAATAACTGTTTATTTTACTGTATTTCATCTTATCTGTATTATGAACCTTTGAATTTAAGAGCTGTTGGTGCAAGTGAACCTCTTACAGAGTTTATATAGCTGATATATGCTTTACTTAGGTAGGTAAACTCACTGAGACCAAGTTCTCATTTGCAAGAGAGACCTGACTCAGCACATGAAATGAGAAGAGGAAATGTAGCTGTAAGCAGTGATCAGAGGGCCGACTGCATACTCCCTATCATTTTCCATGTGGGGAAAAAAGATGAAAGAAAGAGGCATATTTTAAAAAAAATGAGGATTACAATAATACTGGTCTGTGCGAATCCTGTTTGTTTCCTGAGCTTCTGGTGACTTGACTCATTTTCATTCTTGATAACATAGAGTCGTTAATGTAGAGTGCCACTGTTTCTATCTAGTTGTTGGTTGACTTTTGTCAGAGTCAAGAAAAACTTTTTTAGACACAAATAATCATGTTATCTTGTTAAATAGAGACTTCATGGTAATATTGCAGTTGGGCTGAACTCCATCTTTCTCTAGCATTAATGTTTTTGTTTAATTATTAGCCGTTAGCCAGTATATAATATTGCTAATAGTTAAACCACTAACAGTAAAACGGGAGCTGTAGTGGCCCTCAACGAATTTCTTATAAAAACTGGGGCATCAGTCCTTAACATGCTTTGCCGAGTTTGTTGCGCTGCTGTTTATGTGTTCAGCTGCTAGTGAGGGGAGGGGCTGTGTCCCCGCCTGTCTGCAGCAGTACTGTGTGGAGTTGTGTGTCAGCTGAAGGCATATCAAATAAAATAAAATAGATTAAATAAAATATTCTGTGTTGGTGTTGGTGTTGGTTTTGTGACATACCAATTGGAGACTCGTCAGGAGCTAGGCCTAGCTTAATGCATAAACTGTTTCGTTGTTCTCTTTGAATCTAATGGAGAAAATACATTATATTTTCAAAGTGATGTTTTTAAGAGTTTTAAGTAGCGATTGAGCTTTCATCATTAGAAAAGCATTAACTGACGTCAAAAAGCAACTGAGGGTGGTTTAACGACTTCTGTGCAACCAACCAAACAGTGAAGCTTCCCCCTGCTGGCCGTTAGCAGGAATGCCAGTTAACGGCACTTTCACATCGGCTTCATTTTTCAGACCCGGACACAACATCCAACTTTTTATATACAGTCTGCATTTTTGAAATTCTGTGGTAATGCTCCTTTACTTGGTCAACCTCATCACCATGTCAGTACACAAAGCAGTTGCTGAGGTATGACCTCATTTTCAGTTTCATAGCTTTGCTGTTGGAATTGAAAACGTATCCATAACTTAAGTGCTTTGTCAGCATTAGTATTCCACCATTCAACTATTCACTCTTCAAACAAATTTACAAGTGTGTGAGCTCAGAGTTTTTATGCGCTGGTAGATGACAGGTGGGTGTAAGTACAGTATTGGCTGCTCGAATCCAAATGATATGTCATGTTATTGCTACACGATTGCCTCGCTCTCTTCCCACAAGTGGTCACTCATCAAAACACACTCAAGACTCCTTTGGATGAAGATCCTCAAATGTCAAAAGGAGGACTTTCCTGCATTCACACACTCACCACTCCCAGCACCATCATCCTCATCCTCCTCTTCCCTCCTTCCTCTTCTCCTCTCTGAAATATCACCATGCTACAAGGCAAAAGTTCGAGTGACATTTAATTAGGGAGTTTTCCTCTCATGCTGGGGTCCAGAGGGGCGGACTAGCTCTCAGCTGACATCTTAGCATTGTTTTGTTCAGTGTTAAATACCCTTCAGTCAATCTGACTGTCTCCTGTCTCTTTTCCCCTCCCTGCTTCTAATTCAACAGTTTGTGTCCTGTACACTCAAGGAATAGCCAACAAGGAATGGAGAGAGGTGAGTACAGTGGTGGGATTGTGAAGGCATTGTGTATAAATGGCAGCAGTGCAGCTTTTCAGTGAGTCACGCTAAAGCCGTTTAAATCCTTTTTTTTTTTTAAGTTTGCCTGTGGGCCATTTGTTGAATGATGAAACAATTGCTAGTAATGGTGTTTTTGGGACACTTGTGTTAGTTTGAATTGACCAAATTTAACCAAGCTCACTCTGTTCTTGTGCTTTCTTGTGTTAATGGTAGAATCTTAACAGTTATGTGCAGACATTTCTTTTTGGAAAGCATGAAAATGTTTAATTATGTTGCTGTCATTTGGTGCGCATCCATATTTATCCATTTGTGTAATTAAACTAGCTTAGCGAGTGCTATGTGGGCTAGAGATCTTTACAGGCCATCTTTCAGGTGTCAGTGAGACCATGGCCTGATTTGGACTAATGCAATAAATCTATGCTGTAACTTTCCACATAACTTGAGATGCACTTCCCGAGAAATGTAACTACATGTCGGGTCGACGTTCAGTCTGCGACGACTGAATTACTTGTGCATGGGTCATAAAATTGTCTTTGCTACTATAAGATGAGACTATAAATATGAGTAAGGTTATGTTGCTGTGCTCCATCATTGCATGGAGATATTCCCTTGACAGTTAAGGAGAAAGGCACAGTTTCGGGAGACACTAATATGATTCCATTCACAAAACGTCTTCTTATCCCAAGTCAAATAGCACACACAATATCTCATGTGACCAAGTTAGAGTTCCTGGTGAATAAATGAATGAACAAGAAAGCAGTTTTTAAAGGAGTGGCACATGTTGTGTATGTGCTGAAGGGGAAATTTAAATATTACTATAATTAGCCTAGTTTCATGAAAAAGTGTCTGACATGAAGCTGGTGTGCTTATATGCTGTATGATTCAGATTGTCAGTTGTCAATGTCAGTGTGTCCCGCCCCCTTATTGCTCCCAGTAATAAAATATCACCTCTGTCATTTCCCTTCTAGTTTGGTAGGACAGAAGTCATCGACAACACCCTCAACCCCGACTTTGTCCGCAAGTTCATCCTTGACTATTTCTTCGAGGAGAGACAGAATCTACGCTTTGACCTGTAAGTTAACAGCTGACTTATCCGTGCTAATGTGTGCGCGCGTGTGTTTGTTATTGTGTACTAGCGTGTGTTGCGCAGGCACGGGTGCTGCTCTGTGTGAGGCGAAGTTGAGTTAGGACTGAAATATTCATGGCTTGCGCTGAGGGAGATGTACGTCTTCTCTCTTCTAAATAAAAGACAAGTTTTCGTGCCACTTTTTCACCAGCGTTTTCATTTTGAACTCATCCCATTTGTTCATTGCTTTGTGACAAAATAGGGCCAGATGGCCGCGGTGAATCACACATTTTTTGATGTCTATGATTCGCTTGTTGTTGGTTATTTCATCTTGGGTTCTACTAAAAAGACAAGTTTGTCATAGAGATATTTTAAGAGCGTCAACATACCACATCTGCCTTTTTTTTTTTTTAAGCCCCAGCCTTATTTTTCTAAATGTGAAGTTCTGTGTGGTGTGCATAAAAGCCCTTATGAGAGTAACAAATGACCTCCTTTTAACAGCAGATGCAGAAGATTGCTCGGTCCTAATCCTTTTAGACCTAAGTGCATCGTTTGACACAGTTGATCATACAATTTTAATTGACTGCCTTAAGCACCGGGCGGGTATCTCTGGGTCAGTGCAGAGTTTCTTGCCGCTCACATAGAAGTTGTTATGCTAAAGGAGCTGATTTTTCCATCTGCCACATCAGAAAACAACCGACACCTTCCCTCAAGACCCCCTCCTGTTCTTTCCCCCTCCCACCTTTCCTGCATGTAATTTTGCACTCTTTGCAGACATAATTTGTACGCTCATTAAAATTCAGAATATTTCCTGGTGTGTGAGTTTGTGTCACAACAGGCAACACACAAATTTGACGAATACATTAATATTTTTTTAGTCCAGAGTTTTGATCTAAAAACATCGGCTCACTCTTTATGGCAACACTTTGAGGCCATGCTGTAGTTTTGACTCGCTGACTTTAGAGATCACACTAAACCTTCTACAAATCTTTTATAAATACATACTCCTGGGTTGGCTGTAGCTCAGGAGGTAGAGCAGGTCACCTACCGGTACTGATCGGGAGGTTGGAGGTTTGAGCCCAAGCTCCTCCAGTCTGCATGCCAAGTATCCTTGGGCAAGATACTAACCCCAAGTTGCTCTCCGTATGAATGTGTGTGAGTGTAGTTAGAAAGCACTCAGTATAGAGGTAGTGCTTGTGATAATGGGTGTGACTGGGTGAATGTGGTGTGTTGTATAGAGCGCTTTGAGTAGTCCATTTTGAGAGTAGAAAAGCGCTATATAAGAATCAGTCCATTTACCATTTACAATATGTAATAATAAATTACCAGTGGGAAAAAGCTGACCTCAGAGGAGTGAGTTGTGGTGGTGGTGGACTGATCTGCATTGGCACACTGCATTGGTGCGGGTGGACCACAATAAACCATTTAATAAGTTTAATCCAAAGGCTGTGCTTGTGTGCATGTGACTGACTATGAGTAGGCATTGCTAGTCTGTTGGTAGAAAAGAAGCTGATGAATAACTGTGATTGCGAAGCATGAATCACATGGCTAAAGCAGATCATCTCTTTAAAGATTAAAAATTGTGAAACTAAATATAAAAAACCCCAAACATTTAAATCATCGCATTTATCCCTGCTGAGGCTGTGTTTTCACTGAGAGCCTTGTGTCAGGTTTGTTTCTTTGTACCAGGCTGAGTTTCATCAAACCACTACGGCCACAGAAAGAAGCCGATACGATGTGGCTCTGGATCATTTTTCTTTAACGTTGTGCTGGCTGGGTATTGGCTCTAGTGGAGATCTGCACTTTCAGAGTGCCCCTCTTTCATCTGACTCCCTGTCAGCAAGATTAGAGAAAACCACCAAGCTAAATTTAACAAAACTTGACGGAGAGGTCGAGTGTAGGCAGAGGACAAAGCCATTAAATCAGGGTGTCGAATCATTTCATTTTGTCAACCGCACACAGCTCGATTGGCTCTCTAGTGGGCTGACCAGTAAAACTGCTGCAGAATGACCGATTGAAAACACCTCTGAAGTTTTGCCTTTGTTTTATTGCAAAGAATTACAAGTACATGTTGAAACATTTGCATTTAATAAAGTTTAAAAAAAGTACCCAGATGAACAGCCTAAGATGTTTCTAGAAAAAAGAGAGCTCAGTCCTTTTTTTCTCAGTCAGTCTTTTCACTTCTCCATTTCTATTGCTGTAAGTCAAAAACAGACATTTACACATCTCGGCTTAGCCACTTTACTTTAATGCGGTTTTATCGTTGTCAGTACGAGGCTGTAAAACTGATGGTTCGGACTCAGACTACCACTCTCCGAATACGAGGAGGGCCAGATTTGATCTGGTTCTGGTCCCTTTTTCTTTCACTTAATTGTGCTCTCTTTATATTTATGCATTTTTAAATGCACGTGGCTTTTTAAAAATGGTGTGGTACCACAGTATCTGGTAGAAAATACACAAAACAACACAAGGAAAATATACAATATAGCTAGTACGTATGTCCCTCAAACAAATTTAATCAGTAGCTCAATGAACAAAAGAACAGTTTCCAAAATTTTCACAAGGCTGAGTTTTATTGAACACTTGTTTTACGTAAAGTTATTTCAGCTTAGTAAAATAGCTGGTGGACAATTGGCAGTTAGGCTTATTTGCATTATTGGCTATGAAGCCTGTGCAACAGTGTGAAAGTTGTCCTAGTTGGTTCATGAGGCATATTGACACTGACAGATTTTCTTATAAATTAGGAATCTGACAAAATCAAGCTGCTTATTATAGCTAATGGTATAACATGTACATGCTCTGTTATCCACACACATACTGTACATACATGCTGTATGCATCTCCAGCCGTGGTGTATGAAAATGAACAGAGAAATGGCATTAATAGACAAACTATCAAAGCAAGACTGCAGTGCATTTTTTTCCTATTGTGTTCAAGCCTCACACATCATCATTGTATTTTCCTGTGGTAGCTCATGAAATATGGAATGGCTCTTTTGTTTGTTCACTTGTTGGCCTGTCAGCATGGCCGCATGCTGCTCACAAGCTGTGGGAGGTTATAGTTAAGGTCAAGGAGGGATTCTGGGTGTGTGTTTGTGTGTAGATGCAAAGTGCTTGTGCAGGTAGTGTATTGTATTTTAAGTTGGTTAATGGTTTGTGTCAGACAGTCTGGATTGTTTGAATACATTTAGTCATGTAGATATGCATTGTGTGTTCCACTTTGTTTGAGGTGTAAGTATTTATATGTGTGCGTTAGTGTTTTTTTTAAAGGGTACATGTTAAGAATATATGATGGGGCTGGGAGATGTATAGCTCTTTTATTCTTGTTAAAAATATTTACTGCTAAACAAAATTAAAGTAACACTTTGTAAAGACATCAGATCACAAAGGAAAGAAATATCATGCTGGATAGCTATACTGACATGGAGTGGGTAACAGTTTGGTAGAAATGAAAATGATCAGCCTACGGGCGGCTAAATTCAAAAACACCAAAAAATAAAAATGAAAAATGATGGACTAAAGCATAATGTCTCAGATATGTTCTATTGGATTTAAGTCAGGCAAGTGTGGGGCACAGTCAATGGTATCAGTTCCTTCATCCTCCAGGAACTGCCTGCATACTCTAGACCATAGGTGTCAAACTCTGGCTAATTACATTTGGCCCGCAAAGCCATACCAAATTACTATTAGAGCTGGCCTACTGGTATTATACAGCTAATATATATTTTGTTTAGTATTAAGCTTTGCTTGTTCCATATTCAGTTTTTCAGCAAAACTTGTTTGAGTCCATAAGAAAAGATTCATTCTTATATCTGGAGGAATTTTTTTTTTTTTCAATAAATATTAATGTTAGCCCGCGACTTTGTTCCAGTTTTGAATTTTGGCCCACTGTGTATTTGAGTTTGACACCCCTGCTCTAGACACATGAGGCCAGGCCTTGTTGTGCACCAGGAGGAACCCAGGACCCACTGTACTAGCGTAGGATTTCATCCATGGCAGGCAGTCAGGGTGCCGCTGCCTTGCCTGTAGAGGTCTGTGCATCCCTCCGGAGATATGCCTCCCCTGACCATCACTGAACCACCACCAAACCAATCATGCTGAACGATGTTACAGGCAGTATAATGCTCTCCATGGCTTCTCCAGACCCTTTCACGGCTGTCACATGTGTTCAGGGTAAACCTGCTCTTATCTGTGAGTACTGGTGATGGATCTGCCAGTTCTGGTATTCTATGGCAAATGCCCGTCAGGCCCCACAGTGCCTGACTGGCATTTATCCTCTGGCCAACCTCATTTGGGCCTTCAGGCCACCCTCGTGAAAACAGACATGCACACCAGTGTTACGTTGTAGCTCTGGCTACAATATATATATATCTATATCTATATATATATCTATATCTATAT